CCCCCAGCTGGCCAACGCCAGCCGCGTGCTGGGCAATCTGGGCAACGACATCCTGTCCAAGATAACGCTGAAGAGCGGCGTGGGCACTATGGTGGAGACCGGCTCCGATGACGGGCACTTCATGGCCGTTAGGGGCCCCATCACCCTGAGACACTTGCGCTTCCGGCTGACAGACCTGGAAGGCCAAGTCGTCCGACTGAGGGGCTCGTCCTCGTGCTGTTTTTGGATCACGTCTAATCCCCCGAAGGTCTTTTAAACAAATATTTTCTATTAAAAAACCGATGAAGCAAGCGCAACCGGCGCCAAGGCCTAGAGGCAGACCTCCGGGTAGTAAGAACAAGCCCAAGCCGCCCGTGCTGCCCCTGCCGAAGAGCAAAAAAATGATCCCCGACCTGCCCACGGAGCCAGCGTATGAAATGGACTCCCCCTTCCGGCCCAAGAGGGTGAGATTTCCCACAAAGCCCAAGACGGCGCCCAAGGCTGCACCCAAGGCAGCACCCGTGGCCAAGGCAGCACCCAAGGCAGCACCCAAGGCACCGCCCAAGGCAGCACCCAAGGCAGCAGCCAAGGCAGCACATGGACGGGGTCCCCGGCCTTTCGCCTTCACAGCGTAAGAAACTGCTGGATAGCAAGACCATCCACCCTGTTCAGAGCCGTGGTCCAAAGGAGGCGTCGGCGTTTGGGAACAGCCACCATCAGCCATGTCCTGGCTGGAAGAGGCCAACTTCCAAATGCTACGTGATCACCAATGTGCCCTGGTGTGGGTAGACGCCTGCAGGCACAATAAAGTCTTCTCCAGTCGTGGGCGTTCGGCTGCAACAGTTCGAAAATACGGGCCCTAGAGGCCCGTTGCAATCACTCATACAAGCACCAAAGCATTGCAGGCGTGAAAGAACAAGGGGTATACCTCAGCACTCTGACCGCTGAATACCCTCCTTCCCTGGCCCTGCAACTTGCCCAGGTAGGCATAGGAAGGGTCAGTAAAACAGGCTCCTTCCGACAAGCGCTGCCATTGCACTCCGAATTCTCCAGGACCAGCACACTGGCGCCTTGCAGGCTTCCGACCTGCGACGGAGCAGGGGTGCACTCTTCCGCAGACTGGTGTTGTCCCAAGCCAGAACACCCGCTGCAAGCAGTCGCCAGGCCCTGGCTGCATTGGATGCATGAGCGCAAATTGGTGCCACGAATCCTGGCGCACATCAAAAGCAGTTCTCCGGACTGCCCCCTCTCGCCGTCCGAAAGCCTGGAAGTGGCAAATTTAGCGTACACAGCTCTAACATTGCCCTGCCCTTCAGACATGAGCCCCGAGGCAGGACAGCCATACAGACTCCACCTGCAGGCCCTGGCCAATTCTTGGGGTGACATGGCCCTCTTGCCACACGGGGTACCGACAGGAGCCGTGTCAGCCTTGCCACCCAGCCTTCAATGGCCGGCAAAGAAGCCAGACTCCGCGCTGCCGCCGGATCTGGAAATCTGTGAGGGCAACTGGACGAGCCAGAAACCGTGCAAGGCTTGCTGCGCAATGAAATTGCCAACAACTGGATTGTAGAAACCGGCCTTAGCATCGCCGAAGCTCGGGAAAAATGGCCCTTAGGCATTGCCGTAGGCGCCTTGTCCTGGACAGCACCGTGTGCCAAGTGAATACCAGATGCCATCTACCAGAGCGCCTGAGCCTGCCAATGGCATCGGACCTGGCGCTGTCCACGGAGCCGGAGGACACTCCAGGCACGCCAGCATTGAATTCAAAGCCGCACACAAACAGGTGCAGGTCCGCCCTGAAGAACACTGGCGCTTTTTTGCTTCGCCAGGTGCATGGGTTGCTGGCTTGGAAGCCCCACAAAGCCTTCCTTTTTGTGGACGACCTTCTGTGTGCACTCTTCCGAGATAGCGCGCCAGATATGTTTGCCTTGGTGGTGCTTTTCTTTTGCGCCATTGCGGCGCCAATTTCATGGAAAAAGGCGCAATTCCAGGACAGCCTTGTTTGGTGCGGCTGGGAGATCAACTTCTCCCACGACACCATTCAGCTCGTGTCCGCTAAGCTGACCAAGCTGGACGCCTTGATCAAAGCACTGCTGGGGAACCGACGGGTACCCCGCAAAACACTCGAGCAGTGCATAGGCCTGCTCATTTGGGCCACCAGCATTGCCCTACATCTGAGATCCTGGCTAGCGCCACTATACTCGGACCTCAACAGCCCACCAGGCTCGACGCACTAGCATCCTTGAACAAGGATCTCAAAACTAGCCGTAGCCTTCCAGGCTTGTGGATCACAGCGGGCTCCAAAATCTTGGAAATTTCGGGTCGCACCATGCACTGCCTTTCCAAGTCAAGCCAACAATGCCTTACTTGGCTGGCGTTGTGCTTTCAGCACTCGCCTGTTCAGTGCTTGGCGCGGCCACACCAGCTGCAGGCTCTGGACATCCTCCCAAGTGGTTTGGTTTGCCGAGACCTGGAACATGCAGGACATACGAGCCGTGTGGCCTTGCCTTGTCAAGCCTGGACAGCGCTACATCGCATGCTTTGAGATGCTGGCGCAGTTAGCACAACTGCAAGCAACCCACAGCCACATTGGTGGTGGGCGCTACTCGTTCAGCATGCCTTCAGGCACGGACAATTCCGCAACGGAAGCAAGCCTTAACAAGTTGTTCGCGACCTCCTGGCCGTTGCAACTTTTCGTGCAGTTAACAGCCTTCTGGGCTCACGCTCACAATGTGCTGCTGCAGCCGACGCACGTTCCAGGAAGGTGCAATGATTGGGCAGACGATCTCAGCAGAGGTCGGTTGGCCCGATTCAGCCATCGCCCTGAAAGTCGCATACGCTTCAGGCCTAGCAATGTCAGGCCGAGGCATTCAGCTGTGTCCGATGCATGCGCCCTGGCGCCCGGAGCATTTGGCAGCTGCCTCCGTCACTGCTTAGCCAGCCTTATTTGCATCCCGACATGCCTTGCGACCAAATGGCCGTCGTCGCCCTGTCAGCCAGAACAACTGGCTGCGTCAGCCAGCCGCTTACATCAAGCCGCTCTGACCGGAAAAAGTGCAGACCCTGAGTAACAGGCTGCTCACAGCCCAGCGTGCATGGCCACGCCAACATTTGCCCTGCCAGGTACAACCCCACTCTGAAGGGCGGGTGATGAGGCCTGCGGCCCAGCGGGCTCGCTTATACCGGGGTTGCCTGAAACACTGAAGGGGGGGTCAACGCACCTCCTGTTCCAGGCGCACCAGTGCCCTGGAAGCAGTGCTACTTTCAGCAATCCCGGTAAAAAGAACTGCGGCCGCTTCGGACTTGCTTGTTCTTTTGGGGGTTCATGTTTGGGTTCAAGCTAGGAGCAGTGCAACATGCCTTAACGCTTAGGGTTTCTTTTCCCTTGTGTTTAGGGCATGTTGTGAATCGAACTACGCGTTGGCCGTTTTGCTCCTAGCCTTGACCCAAACCTGCGGTTTCATTTGAAACCCACCCACCCACCCTGCACTGCCTTATACAAGGCTCTGCAAGTATAGGTAGCAGACGCTCTGCACTTTCATTGGTGGTCTCCGGGCCTCTTGGTCTCCGGACCAGGTCTCCGGACCAACTCTGGTCTCCGGACCTCGGGTCTCCGGACCTTTCGGTCTCCGGACCTTGGGGCGTGGGCACGCATGCCGCGCCCCGCAAGCACTGCATTTATATGCAAGGACACGCATTGTCTTGCCTTTTTAAATCTCAGGGGGGTCAACGCACCTCCTGTTCCAGGCGCACCAGTGCCCTGGAAGCAGTGCTACTTTCAGCAATCCCGGTAAAAAGAACTGCGGCCGCTTCGGACTTGCTTGGTTCTTTTGGGGGTTCATGTTTGGGTTCAAGCTAGGAGCAGTGCAACATGCCTTAACAGTCCAGTTTTCTGCGAACCAGACTATTTGTGAGCTGAAGCCGCCCAACCGCCGACACCCACCGTTTCTTCTTCGGCGCATGCGTGTGCATCTGCACAGCATGCCAGAGGGCGTGGTTGTGCCAAAGGCCGGGTGGGAGAGTCCTGCTGCGAAGTCGGAGTTTTCTTCGCTGGGTGCCTCTGTGGTTCACGGCTTGCCATGGCTAAATCGGCAAAGCAAGGCTATTCAACGTCAGCTTGGTTTGGGGTTTGTGTGATTTGAGGCTAGGAGCAGGGCATTAGGTCTCAACACGCATTGTTAGCCGGGGGGTATCATAAGGCTTCGCCTGGGATGCAGAAAGCGTGAGTCGAACACGCATGTTTATTCACCTGCATCCCTGAGCCTGTACCTCTGAGCAACACCTGCAAAAAGACTGTGCGTGGGTCGGTCACAGTCTTCTTTGTTAGACATGCCTTGGAAAGCTTGAAGCAGTGAGCAGGTTGCTAACTTGATGAACGTCCGCAGCTTCAGTATTGCAGTCTTTGCCACACGGCTACTTCAACGCACGTTCCGATGTTTGCACCTGCCTGGGGTGGGAAGTCGCGCAAGAAATGGATTGCCGTAAGTCCAAAAAATTGGATGTTTGTCAGGCCGTCATCGTACAGTCTGTTTTGAGAGCTTGAGGAACAGGGACATTTACAACGCTTTGAACTTATAATGGCGACGGGCATAACTTCCAAAGAATAGCAGACAAACTAGAGAGAGTTCGGTATGCATGAGAATTGCATTGTTTACAATAGATTTGTTTGCTCGCATTGATTTGCCACCTGCCACTCACTCAAAATCGAGGCCTTGTTAAAACCTGTCAGTTGACATTGGCTGAGTGTTTGGCTGACACACACCTCAAGAAAGATTCATCAGCGCGATGCCGTGTTCCATGCCCGGTTTCGGGTTGCCATAGTGTCGCTTCGTGTCAATACCAGCAATTGTAAGCCTGCCTTCATTGGCAGATCGAGCACCGCACATCAAAGGATTCGAGATGGTAAAAGTGCTGGTTTGAAGGATTGTTAGACGGTTTGTCGCCCTCACGCCCAAACCTTCAAGCAACACATGTTGAGTTTTGGTTTGCAGCGTTGCTCGTGCTGCTTCGTTTTTCGGCTTAGACAATAGATATTGCACGGGAAAGAGCTCAGCGTGCAAAATGTGCTGCAGTGTTGATGAGCTGGCAATGGTGCACAAAGGCTCCAGCAATGCGGCAGCCTGGCAGTTGCCTGGGTTGTTCGAAGTTTTGTCATCCTCGATACCAGCGGCCACAGCATGTGAAATCAATATAGGCCTGAATCATTGTGTAAAGGACTAGAATCCCGTTGCCATCACACTGAGTGCATCGTTTAAAATTTGAAGTACGTTCATTGGAACATGACTTGTCGCATTTGTGACCCTGCTCAGGTCCACAACAATGCTGAGCGTATTGTGGTTCCCGGTGCCGGTGGGGAAGTGCAGGTCTTCCATGTCATGCAAGGCAGAATTCCAACTGAATTGCTGGCTGCCCTGACGCTGGTTCGGATTGAGCCATGTGTCAGCATCACGCAATTATATTTTTTTTCTTTTTCTTAGTATATTTGCTGAGGAGCGCACCGCTTTCTGACGAAGATTGCACAGCTCTTTATCATGAGGCCCGGGCTGGCTGATCTCCCAAAGCAACAGACACAAGCAGACAGACAGACGGACAGACGGGACGGACGGAGACGGAGACAGGGAGACGAGGAGGCAGGGAGACGGAGAGACAGGAAGACGGAGACACGGAGAGACGGAGAGACAGGGAGACGGAGAGGCAGGGAGACGGAGAGACGGAGAGACGGAGAGACGGAGAGACGGAGAGACGGAGAGACGGAGAGACGGAGCCACGGAGCGACGGTGAAACGGAGAGACGGAGAGACGGAGAGACGGAGCCAGGGAGCGACGGTGAGACGGAGAAGCAGAGAGACGGAGAGACGGAGCGACGGTGAGACGGAGGGAGCGACGGTGAGACGGAGAGGCCGAGAGACGGAGAGATGGAAAGTGGAGAGATGGAGAGACAGAGAGGCGGAGAGACGGAGAGACGGAGAGCCCGAAGACGCGCATGTAGCTGCTAAGCAGGTAATTATGAAAGCTGGAATTATGCAAAGTGTATGCAATGTTTCCACAGGATAGGAAGGCAATCTTCCAGCATCGAACATGTCTAGGTGGGATTGCATCGTGCACTTCCTGTGCCAAAGACTGAAAGGCCGAAGGCACCTTGGGCCAAACAATTTGAGGCAGAGAGACTGTGGCCAGTCACCGTACGCTTTGCCTTTGTATGAAGCTTTCTATATTATGTGTGATCTCAAGTCATGTTAGTCTGATGAAATATCTCCGCAGCTTCCAGGTACTTTGGCTGTTTGGGCCACCTGCGGCGGGTAAAAGCACACTTGCAGCTGAACACTCACCAACCATTTTTGGCATCAACGGAAGCGCTGTTTCCGTGGATGGTGAGGAGTTTCTTGGCCAGAGGAAGACACTATTTTTTTTCATTGCCATTGCTTGTACCACGCTCACTTGCTTGCATGCACCTTGATTGAAATTTGCATCAAAGCAATTCAATGTAAATGGATACTGCCCGATCCTGGATTGCATGAAGTCTTGATGCTTGAGTAAACATGGGGCTTTTCGATTTGCCAACAGACGAACAAACAAAAACATGTGTTTTGATGCATACCTAGACATCACACCCTGCACGAAGGGCTTTGCCTTTGACTTTTTTACGTCTTCTGTCCTGTGCAAGGATTCGAGGTCAACACAAGGGCTTCCGCCGCGTTGCGCAGCACGGTTTGGAGAACCACCTGCTGCATAAGGATGCCTGGGGCATCCTGAAGGCGACCGGACACGTGGAAGGCCTGCAGCCCAGATCATCAAAGATTTGAAGCACTATATAGACTCTCACAAGTTGCAACAAGTTGCGAAGGCTTGAAGAGAACCATCCTGCGCAAGGCTATTCAGAACCTTGTCAAATCTTGTCTACATGTTTCCTTTACTTGGGTCGTGATTGCCTGAGACCTTCACGGCTGAGGAACCGGCAAAACATCACGATGCCAGATTGTGCTCTGAAGCCTGCCCGTGTCATGGAAATGCTGAAAGAGTTTCAAGATGCTGAACTATGGCTGCAGTATGCTTGCTCACCCAATGGCCTGTGCGTATGCTTATGACAGTTCCGACCAAGGACTATGAGATGCATGCGATTTGCCTTTGGGCGCCTGCTCATGAAGCTGAGAGGCCAGACGCCATGCTAATGCTCAAATTCTGCAGACGTCAGTTGCCAGCCTGTTTGGAATTTCAGTAGGTTCTTCCCCCCTCATGTTACTTGTAATGATCAACAGCATTCAGCTGTTCCAACGAGGGTGGAGGGACCAACTCAGTCTTGTTTGTTGCTTAACTTGAAATGCTTGATTGCAAAGCAGCCAGGAGGGGCCGTCTACGTTCCGTCCAGACGGGCAAAGCCTACAGCCCCAAGTTTCATCGCCCCAGCAGCTCCTGGGCTGCAAGATGCAGGTGCTGCAGATTGCAGTCATGTCTCGGCAATACTGGTTGGCTGAGCTGGACTTATTCTGGCAGACCTTTCAAAGCATCTCTTGCGCAGCGCGGTCAACATTTGTCGTTTCAGCCTTGGGGTTTGTACACGCAATATGAACGGTGGCTTGTGGCAGCACTACTATTTTTGGCTGAAATGCTCTCGCGGTAGACTAGCTGCGTCAATGGTTTGTCCATACACTATGACAATGTGGTTTCCTCAAACCCGTTGGTCATTGTGACCATAAGGCAATACAAACTGTCCAATGCAGGGGCAGATGATCAACTTTGTACTCATGCACTTGTTTTTTCCCCTTCTCGCAGTGAAATGAACATTTGTGTTTGCAGCCGCGGTTCTTTGGTGCTGTCAGTGGTCCTGGTTCTGCCAACACTATTCCGGCTCGCATGCACCATGTTGGTAGCGATTTGCCGTGGCGTTAGTTTGTATATGTTTTCATAGCCAAAGTTCTTGCTTGCATGTAGACCTGACTACTGCTTGCTCCAAGGTGATGGCACAATCGAGATAGCTCGGTATTGGGAAGAGCAGATGAGGCCCTCAAACACATTTCTTTGCAGCTCCAAAGCAACTGTTCTGTGAGCCCGGCAAATGTTTCGTCCGGTTTCCAAGCGATCCCTTGCAGATGTGCAACGAAGTGCGCAGCAAATGTTTTGAATACTTTAGCCGCCTTTAGCCCTTCGATGGTTGACCTGCTCTTGCCTCAGTGTTTGTGTTGCATGGAGAATCCGGCAGCTAGCCCCACTTTGACCGCAGAGCCTGATTGGTAGAACCCGGTGAAGCTGAGGCTTGCCACCCTTTGCCATCTTTAGAGAAAGCTGTGTTGACGCACACTTGCACACAGATAGGACAAACATATATGTATATATATATATGCTGTATTAAGCATGAAGCTGTACAACAACATCAACGTCTGGAATCTGATTTTGGGAAATTATTCCATGAGGATCTTGCTGATGGTGTACGGTACCTAAACATATATCATATGTAATATGTATATATGATGTATATACATTATATACACATATCAATCCATATCATGGCAGCTTGTGCCATTACATGTGCGGATTTGCCGTTTCGGCGTGATGTTCCTGCCTTTTTCCCCTCTTTGGCTGTGCGCTCTTTGTAGTGAGCGCACATATGCGAGCTTTGGCTTCTCCGCTTTGACGTGGTTGCTTTCTGTCGCGCAAGAAGAAGCGCATCGTTTGTGTGCAAGCCACGCCAGAGTGCCTTTTTCGCGCAGTTGTTGCCTCGCAGGCACATGTCCTGGCGATTGTCTTGCGCCTTCTTAGCTGCATCGCGCGCTCGCTTGCTGCCAGATTTGCCGGGTTGCAGGAAGCTTCCTGCAAGCAGGCAAGAGACAAGCAGGTAATCAGGCAGTCAGACAAGCCAGCGGGCAGCAAGCCAGCCAGCCAAAAGGCCAGCCAGCAAGCAAATGAGCGAGCGAGTGAGCAAACAAGCAAGCAAGCGAGCAAGCACGCAGACAAGGAAACAATCAAGCAAACAAGAAAGACTAGAAGACGGCTGGTCTTCAAGCATCAGCAGCGTGCGGCGGCAAGTTCTCCTAGCAAGTTCTCTGTGCAAGCCTCTGAGCAAGTTCTTGGTGCGAGTTCCTCTGAGCAAGTTCTTCAAGCAAGCTCTTGGCACAAGTTCTCTGAGCAAATTTTCTCAGAAAGTTTTCTGAGCAAGTTTCTATGAGCAAGTTCTTTGAGCAAGGTCTCTGCGTGCAGCGCTGACAACACAGCAACCTTCGACGCGAGTGCAATTGTCGATCCGGACCTGCGAAAGTGCGCTTTGCGCAGCATTTTTTGTAGTTAGAAGTTGCGATCTGCCAGCTAGAGCATTCTGAAAGTGTACTTTGCGAAACATTTTCGTAGTTCAAAGTTGTGATCTTCCAGCCGGTCTGAAAGCGTACCTCGTGCAATGCTTACCACGCTGACCCTCGCAGAGGGTCAACTTTTCGATCGGCAAGTTGGTGCAGGCGCGCCGACTTCAAAGAGTAATTTAGACTCTGTTGAGCTTCACGTTCTGAAAACCACTCGTGCCAGTCTCTTGTGGAACTTGCTGTTGTAGCTTGCTAAAGCAACCTCTTCTGTAACTTGCCAACGCAGTTTGCTAGTGCAACTTGCTAGACTCGACGAAGCAACTGTTGCTCGTGTTGTCTTGTTAGTGCTACCGGCTAGTGCATCTTGCTAGTGCTATCCTGCTAGTGCTATCATGCTGGTGCTACTGGCCAGCGCATCTTGCCAGTGCTCTCTTGCCTGTGCAACTCGTCAGCGCTTCTTGCTTTTGCAACTTTCTAGCGTGGCTTGCTGGTGCTCCTTTTTGAAGATCTCGCTTGCGCTCCTTGCTGGTGCAATCCACTCTAGTCCTTTCCTGAAGAACCCCTTGCAAAGCTTTTTGGAAAAGCAAGCGAACAAGTGAAGAAGTGAACAAGCGAGCAACCAAGCAAAAAAGCGAGGAAGCGAGCAAGCAAACAGGCAAACGCGCAAGCAAACAGGCAAACAAGGAAGCAGGCGAACAAGGGAGCAAACAATCAAGCGAACCAGCAGAGAAGCGA